GTGCCCAATAATGCATAATTTCATTTGATAAACACGTTTAGATTGAATGGTAATTTATAATCAGTCACAAGAACGTCGAATCTGAATCACTTGAAAAAAACACGGGGGTGCTTAACTTTTTTCCAGGTGTATATATTTCATTGTTTTCTGTGTTACACATTGTACATTAAAACAATAAAGACTGAAGACTTCTTGCTGTCTTATTATCATTATTATAAAAATTACCAATCTCAAGTTTGTAAAATTAGGTTAATATATGTGTTTTTCCTCATTATGTTGGGAAGTATAGAACAATGTTCAAATTGAAAAACCTTTGTTGCTTTAAACATACCAAATGTTTTTATTTCATATAATCTTTCTCTTATTTTTGTATTAAAAATTGAATTTATATGCATATATCAGTTTAATACAGTTTATTATATATATTTTTGATCTTTTATTAAGCAACATTAAAATTCCTGTTGATTATATAAGTTTTCTTGTAATTTTGAACCCTTTAAAGCTGTATTAATGTTTTCAGAATATTTCAGACACATGAAATTTTGAAATATTTATATATATAGTAAATCCAAAATTAGATGGTGATGAATTTTTGTGAATTTTTATTATTTAAATATTTGTTTGAGTAATATAATGTTTTTCCTTTATTCCTAAATTCTTAAATAACTTTAAGGAAATTAATGTGTAGATTCAAACTTTTGCTCTATCTAAGAAAGTATTTTGTGGCCATTCAGAAATATTTCAACTTCTTAAACTTCTTCTGTGTTTTAATAAAAAGATTTCAACTTGAAATTTTGGCACTACTATTGTGTTCACTAGTTTGAAGAAAACATGGTCTTGTTACTGAAGCTTATGTTTCATACAATGTATTTATTATTAATTGTCAGATTTAAGGATTAAATCATTTTTTGGAGGGAATTTGCTTCTGTTCTAAATCCATTTGTAAGCTTCCAAAAAACGTTTTCCTTAAACTGTCCACTGGTGGGTCAGTAATAAGTTTACAGACTTGCAGTACTAAAATCTGAGTTTAATTCTCTGCAGTGGACAGAGTACAGATAGCCTATTGTATAGCTTTGTATTAAAATAACTTCCTTATGTTCACAGTAAAAATTAAAAAGAAATTTCTGTTCTTTCATAATACTACAAAACATTTGAAAGATTATTAAATATGTTTATTTGTGCACTTTTTGTCTAAAATGCATAGTTTCTAATTTTTCTTTTTTAAAGCACTGAAGTTCTACAATTTAATAATCCTTTGGTGAACTGTATTTCTGTTTATGAAGGCATTTGATTATAGCACAGTAAAATACATAGAAATCCCAAAAATTGTGTCTGATAATCATATAACATGTGAAATTAGAACCGACTGTTTGTACAAGGATTGAAAAAACATTTAACTGGAAACTCAATTGTTTGTGCATTGTTTATCAAACATTAAGACCACTCCATTTTTTCCCATGGCAGTTGCAGCCAATCTACAAAAACTAATTGATCAGCCAACAATGAAATCGGCAACATTTGCATTAGTAAGTAAATGTATTTGGGTTTTGATTTTATTTAGTTATTAAGCAATTTTGTTTTACTTGAAGTGCATATAAAGTTCTTAGTATGTATGATTTGTTGTTTAAATGGCAGAGTGTTAACAACTGTTAATCATTATGTACATGTATATCACTTAAAATCATATCAAGGTTTTTCTTGAGATTTTATCTTAGTTTTGTGTATTTACAACCCATAAATTTTGAAGTATATAATTTTCAATACAAATTCTTACTCTACTAGTTCAAAAATTTTGTAACTATTTATAAGTATGCCCTCACCGAAATTGTGATCTAAAAAGTGACAAGAAAATGTGTACTGTAGTTAATGCAGGTAGTCTGTGATAGACATGTCTATATCTGGAATTTTTTTTTAATTTGAATATATATTTTCACACAAATCTGGCACTCAGAACAAATAAATATGTAGTTTAGTTTATAGGCTTTGTAGAGAAACTACAGCAGATCTAGTCATAGTTGTATAGCCACTTTATATTTAGCAATTAGATCCAGTTTTACCCCAAGTGCAGATCCCATGTGCATTAATGAATTTTACGTAAATTCTCTCATAATAAGTAATTGCAAAATATGTGTATTATTCAAGTTGTAATTAATGCAGCTGGGAAAAGGAAAGGAATATAAAGAGTAAGATGAAGCTGAACACATACATATGAAACACTGGCTCATACATTTATTTTCTAATAAATTTCAGTACAATATATATCATCATCTAGTACAAATTCATTTACAAAAAATTATTCATCAGTCATGTTTCTTTAGTTTTGTCAAACAACCTATCCTTTGTATAGTTCCTTTTTTTTGTTTGGTGCTGTTTTATTAACGTGTGTGTGTGTATACATTCTCAGTCTCTTCATGTTTAATGAAAATCTTGTTACATGTACTGTGGAAAAAGAATGCATCAACTCTCGCTAAAAGATCGGTCGATTAGACAGACCTCACCACTTTTGTACTTATTATAGTTTCCATACTATAACTTTTAATACACTGTATGTATATTCACAAAATTTGGCAGACTTTAATTAATCATTACAAACATAAAGTAAAATTTTTTAATGAAGTATTTTTACTAAATATTTGACCTTGAATATATAATATTTTTACTTAAGGTTAGATTACGTGAAATATAATAATAATGTAATAAAATTTTTTCTTGAGGTACACTTGTGAGTAGCTCGTGCATAATATAATTCGATAGCGTAACGTGAGCAGCACATTCGACAAGTGATTGACAACTAGTAATGGCATGAATAGCAATTAGAGAGGGTTCAAAAGACAATAAAACAATAAAATTTAAGTATAAATAAATGTATATTGTTACGAGTTTAAAGCTATTTAGGATAAACAAATGTAGTTTCATGTTACAATTTGAAGTTATTCTAGAAAGAAAACAGGGTAATTTAGACTTATTTTGAAGTTTTTTTTTCGTGGTTACGAGGTCAGTCAGATTTACCAACCTTGTATAAAGTTAGGGTAGAAAAAATAACAGATTAAATATAGTTTTACTGAAGAAAAAAAAACGTTTGAAATTTACTTGGAAGGTTTTAGAGTTTATGCAAATAAAATCTGATATTTTTTGAGACAAAGAAAAATATTTATAAACTTAAAATCGAAAATACTTAACACTCGGACTAGCATATAGTAAAAAGTTTCTTATTTATTACATTTTAGTTACTTTTACAATAATAATAAAAGAATTACATGAAAAACAAGAAAAAAAAGTATTTACCTGGGTCTTCTTTTTGCTGTCAATGACACTTAACCCTACTTTTTTATACTAATAGTAGTAGTGCACTAAATAATTTTTATTTAATTGAATAATGCACCAAATAAAACAGAATAATAATGTACAAAAAGCAGACAATGTCCCATAACTATCACAATTTTTCTGGCTTTCTAACTACGTGACAAGAGCCATTAAAACTTGTCGATGTGTTTCCTGTGGGAATCAAGCTTGAACTGAAAGCAAAATTGACAGTTCTCTTTACAGAAAACAGTGTATCATAATATGTCATTTGATAGATGAAAACCTTGGCTTTCTATTGGTCATAAATATTAAAGCATTGAATGTCAGCATGAACTATTGGCAATTTCTGAAAGAGAGGATGTGACAGGTGGGTGTGGAAAGAAGGGTCTGGTTGTCTATTTTATAGCTCTGTAACCAAATAAGATTGAAGGCTATGAAAATTATTCTTTGCCTGAGTGATGAGATATTATAATGAGTAATTTACATTATATTTCATATTTTTTGGAGGGATAATAAATAAGTTAGAGAAGAAGGGATGCCTAGAGAGCAACTATCACAATTCTCACACTAGGGGAAATTCTAGATTTTGTAAATATTGCCTTATAAAAATAGGAACTTAAAACTTATATACTATTAAAATATGGATTATTGATCATATTTTTATACTCTGTTTATTGATATACCATAAAAAGAAAGTTGCTTAGTTAAATTTTGAAGGAAACTCACTAAAACCTGTGACATGTGCAGAAAAAGATGCACTTGTAGAGAGGATTATCTAAAATACATGTTTAAACTTAAAGTAGCACTGACCATTAAAAACTGGGCAAATTTACAGGCTGAGGAAACACTGTTAAATACTTCTTATAACTTTCAAGTTGAACACAAAACAAAAGTATTATGTCACAATCTCTGAAAATACACTTTCAGTCATATATATTATATGCATGTTTATTGCAGCAGAGATAAATAAATACATAACATAAACTGTTTTAACACCCTAACTTTACTTAGGAATGATAAAAACGTGAAAATAGATATACATGCTCTTTATGAACATCCTCATAGCTTGAATTAAAGACTTTGCAAATTTTCTGCAACATTAATGAGTTATGGGTAATTAATTTTAATTAGTACTTCATTAGTAGTAATTAGATGCATAACAAGACAATTGGTAAAGCTTTTTAAATTAAAAAAAACTTGAGCTATGGAAGAGTGTAATATCAATAAGTATACTAAATTTTATACTGATATTGGCTTTAGTGGTGAAGTTATCATGCAAATAAATTTATCACGTTAGTGAAAACTGCATTTTGAGAAAATAGCTGTTACAGTTTTTCTGCTGTTAAATGTTAAGCTTTTAGTAAATGTGTAAATTGTAGTAAAATATCTCAATCCCATTGTAGGCACCAGGAGCCATCGAAACTTCATTTTTTCATCTTGTCCTATCTGGACATTTCTCCAGATAAACTAGTCCTTCAGTTTTTAGACATTCAAAAAACAATAACTATTTCATTATCTAATGACTTATCACTATCCTCCTCAATAAAAGTTACTGGTTTTGACAACAAGAAAGTCTGTATGTGGAACGTTGCAATACCTTATAACAAATATATTTTTTTATAGAAAATGCCTGAAAATATCTACGATTGATAGAAATAAAAATATACTTTAAATTGTATATTATATTATAAGGAAAGCAAACTCTTGATGTGGTATGAACAACATAGGAGAATATTCTTTGTTTGTTGTCTTCAAATGGCCAGTCTCATGCTGTATATGGTGTGTATGTGCAACAAAAACTGCAGAATCCTGGTTGAAATAGACCAGAATCCACTTCTGTCATTTACAATAATGGTTTAGTGACATTTTTTATCAAGTAACATTAAGCTTATGAAATTCTTTCTCTGTATTACAAATTTACTCTATTGCTCAATAAACTAACAATTCACTATATTTCCCTTTTTTGACAATGGAGCTGTTAATTATGTTTTAATATCAGCCATTATGCTTAAAACAAAGACAAATCTTGTAACATTATACAGTGAATGACAAAACGACAATTAAAACACCTGCTAAATTCTAAAATGATGTGTCACATACCACATATTGCACATGTGCAAACTAAGGACTCAAATCCTTCTTGCTTACTCATAGCTTATGCAGCTTATAGTATTTGCCGTAAATTGTCTACTTGATACTATTTTGACAAAATTTAATTTCATAGTCATAAAAATCACACCTCAGCTATAATTAAATATAACAGAATCTTTACTATTGCCACTCACACAGTTTTTGGATATGCATATTTCATGTGATCATCAGGAATCATTTTGTTTTCAGTATATTATGTAGATTTTTAAAGTGCCTTTTTGTATGATTATTTTTAGTTTTATATTAAACTCTGAAACCCTTTATGATAACATGATATAAAATAACCTTTAAAATGTATGCAGTTTTAATAGGTAAACTTGTTTTCATATTTATCAACGAAAAATTGGCCAAATTGCTCTTTACATTTCTTGGCATACTTAGTAAATATGAATTATGATTCTTCTGTTAACATCTAAAAA